TGGTCATTTTAATAATATTAATTCTTCCAATCCATGAGCATGGAATATCTTCCCATTTATTTGTGTCTTCTTCAACTTATTTCTGTATTGTCTTGTAGTTTTTAATATGTAGGTCTTTCACCTCCTTGGTAAATTTATTCATAGATATCTTATTTTACTTTTTGATACAATTGCAAATGGGATTATTTTTCTTAATTTCTCTAATAGTTTGTTATTAGTGTAAAGATATACAAGAGATTATTCTGTATTGATTTTATATCCTGCAACTTTTACTGAATTCATTTATTAGTTCTAACAGTTTTTTGATGGACTCTTTACGGTTTATGTAATATCATTTCATCTGCAAATAGAGACAGTTTTACTTCGTCCTTTCCTATTTGGATGCCTGTTATTTGTTTCTCTTGCCTAATTTCTTTGGCTAGGACTTCCAGTGCTGTGTTGAATAGAAGTGGTGAGAGTGGGCAGCCTTGTTTCTGATCTTAGAGGAAAGGCTTTCAGGTTTTCCCCATTGAGGATGATGTTAGCTGAGGGTTTGTCATATGTGGCCTTTTTATGTTGAGGTACATTCCCTTTGTACCCACTTTGTTGAGCATTTTCATCATAAACACATGTTGAATTTTGTCAAATGCTTTTTCTGCATCTACTGATATGATCATGCCTTTTATCCTTCAATTTGCTCATGCGGTGCATCACGTTGATGGACTCGTGGGTGTTGAACCATCCTTGCATCACTGGAATAAGTCCTACTTGATCCTGGTATATTACCTTTTTAATGTTTCATGGACTTCGTTTTGCTAGTATTTTGTTGACAATTTTTACATCTATGTTTATCAGGGATATTGGCTTGTAATTTCTTTTTCTTTTCTTTTCTTTTTTTTTCTGTGGCAAGCTTGTTTGGTTTTGTTATCAAGGTAATGCTAACCTCATAAAATGAGTTTGGAAGTGTTCCCTCCTCTTCTGATTTTTGGAAGCGTTTAGGATACCTTTTTGCATGTCTGGTGGAATTCACCAGTGAAGCAGTCTGGTCCTGGGCTTTTCATTGTTGGGAGACTTTTGATTACTGACTCAATCTCCTTACTAGTAAGTAATTGGTCGGTTCAGATTTTCTGTTTCATCGGATTCTTGGTAGGTTGTATGTTTCTAGGAATTTATGCATTCTCCTAGGTTGTCCAATTTGTTGGTGTGTAATTATTCATCATAGTCACTTATTATCCCTTGTTTTTCTGTGACATCAGTTGTAACATCTCCCCTTTTGTTTCTGATTTTATTTATCTGAGTCCTCTGTCTTTTTTCTTGTTGAGTCTAGCTAGGGGTTTGTCAACTTTGTTTATTTTTCAAAGAACCAGGTCTTCATTTATTTGACCTTCTCTATTGTCTTTTAAGTCTGTATTTCATTTATTTCTATTCTAATCTTTGTCATTTCCTTCCTTTACTAACTTTCGACTTTGTTCTTCTTTTTCTAGTTCTTTGAGACATAGATTGTTTATTTGGGATTTTGTTTGTTTGTTTGTTTCTGGAGGTAGGCATTTATCACTCTTAACATTCCTCTGAGAACTATTTTTGTTACATCCCACAAATTTTGGTATATTTCCATTTTCGTTTTCTCAATGTAATTTTTTGTTTCTGAGTTTTTCTTTGACCCAGTAGTATGTTGTTTAATTTCCACGTTTGTGATTTTTCCAGTTTTCTTGTAATTAATTTCTGGTGTCATATTATTGTGGTCAGAAAAGATGGTTGATATGATTTCAATCTTAAATTTATGAAGACTTGTCTTGTGGCTTAACACGTGATCTATCTTGAAAAATTTTCCATGTACCCTTGAGGAATGTGTACTCTGTTGCTTTTGGATGGAATGTTCGTAAATATCTGAAGTCTGTTTGGTCTAACATGTCATTTTAGGCAGATGGTTTCTTGCTGATTAGCTGTAACTACTACAACTTGCTGTTGCTATGTGGAAATGGCCGTTGATGTACCTACATGGGTGTGGTTGGGTTCTAGTCACACTTCATTTATGGACACTGACATTTGCAGTTCATGTAGTTTTCATGTGACGTGGGATATTATTCGTTTGATTTTTCTTCAACTGTTTAAAAACATGAAAACAACTCTTAGTTCATGGGTTGCGGGACCCAGGTGGTGGGCAGAAGTGGCTCGTAGGCTGTGGTTTGCCTACCACTGTCCCAGGTCATGGCAGCATGTTGTAGAAGTTGGCAGTCCATGGTTCTGGGTGAGGGTGGCCTGACATGCAGCTGTGGCACTTCCAGATGCCTCCTCCTGTTGGTAATGTTGGCCAGTGGTACCAGCCAGGCTGCCAAGTCTGGAATGTGCAGACGTGTGGTTATGGATTGAGCAATGCAGTTTTGGATAGTGGTCCCCTGGTGTGTGTGACCGGGCATGCCTGGGTAGGCTGTGCCAGTGACACTGTTATGTGGCCAGCTCGCTGGAATGTGCTGTCCTACTGATCTGGACTTGTCTGAACTGTGTGTGCAGCCTCAAAACCCTCATCCTGTGCAGGAGATGTCCAGGTCCCTGTCACCTGGGTCATGGAGTTATGCTACTTGCCTTTGTCCCGGCCCAGCTTTTCCGGCCTCACTGAGAATTGCTGAAGTGGCCGGCTGCCCCTGTGCAGATCTGTTTCTGGGTGTGCACAGATGCCCTGGCAGCACCCGTGCCTGCTGTGGGCACCCAGCATGTGCTCCCTGCTGCCCTGGGTGCTCCTGTCCTCGTAACAGCGACCAGGGGAGGGGAATGCTGGCTTCCCTCCAAGTGAGCTCTTTGTCATCCCATGACAAGTGAGTTTTCCTGTCCTAACTCCGTCCCTCCCATGGGCTCGAGAGAAAACTGGGTCCTCCTTTGTCTCCCGCAGGGTGGAAAGGGACGCATCGGCGTGGTCATATCATCCTACATGCACTTCACCAACGTCTCGGCCAGGTAGGAGGGAGGCGTGCGTGCCGCCCCGGGCTGGGGGAAGCCCTGTGCATGTTTTCCTTTTGTCCCTCAGTTCTCCCCAGTCACCTATCATGGCAGCTATCATGGCTCCTGCTTTACAGGCAAGGAAACTGAGGCTGGGTGGCGTCGGACAGCTTGTCTGTGGGCAAGAAGCCTGGTCCGGCCTGGTTCTCAGAACATCCTGTGGCGTCTGCAGCTGCCCTCGCGTTTCAATGGCCACTTTGTGCAGCCTGAGCTGCCCCACTGAGGAAACACAAGCCCGTTCACACTGGCTGATAAACCGTTTCTTTCTCGCAGCAAGGATGAAATTTGACTTTCTGAATGTTTTCTCTGCAAACACATTGGGGAGCTCGTGCCTGCCAGGGAGGAAACCCAACCCCCAGTGAAAATCAGACCCCTTCTTGGTGATAATGAGCATTTGTGTCCGTGCAGACACACGGCGATTCCTGCTCGCGTCGAGTCCCTCAGTGCAGCAAAGGTGTCTGGACGGAGACCAGACTTCCCTGGCGGTTCTGGACAGGGCCCCTCACATTTCTGCGTCCCTGCCCACAACAACGCAGCTCTGTCTGTACCAACGTCCCGTGCGCCGTGGGCAGTCCCAGCAGCTAGAAACAGACTGAGAGCCCTATTCACAGAGGGCCCGTCGGCTGCCGCTCTTTCTAACAGCTGCTTTCGCACTTGTAGTTGGCCCGTATCTCAGCTGCGTGTCAGGCAGTTAAACGCACCTCTGTGCCTCATGGTCCTCCCTGTGAAGCTGGGAGGACGGGTGTGCCTCACGGGGCCTTGTGACACTTCACTGTGTCATTGCACGGAAGGCACTTCGCCCCAGCACTCGGGTATCAGCTGCTGGTACCATAGGAGCAACAGGGTTGGGTACTGTTCAGGGACAGGCAGTGACAGACACCACAGTGCTTTCTGAATGAGCACTCTTTCCTGACTGTCTTCCTTGGTGCCATTTAAGCGGCTGCTCAGCTCTGTCTCCGGTCGATGAATAGATCACACGTTTCAGCATTTGGTGACGTTGCTTGTCCCAGTTGCTTCCGTTTTTGCTTTAGAATGTCAGCTTTTTGTATGATTCTGTATGTGAAAGCAGCACTGGCCACAGACTCGTGTACACCTGTGACCGTGTACATACCGCCCCTCAGGTGTCATCCCCGGAAGCCATCACAGGGCAGACAGTTTTCAGGCCTTCGTTGCAACCTGTGCTCCAGATCAGAACAGAAACCTTAAGGCGCAAAGTAGAAAGAGCATTCTCGGGCCAGCGTCGTAAAGATAAGCTTTCGGGGAGGAAGAGCAGTGGCAATGTCATTGATAGTAGTGATGACGTTAATACTGGACGTGAGCATCGGCCAAACGCATTACAGCATTTTAACAAAACCAGTGAATTCCAGACAAAGGAATGTTGAACATGAATGGTGGACATTGAACACCCATGGGCTTGAGGAGCCAGAGTTCAGTGTCAGGCAGGCCGTTGGAAAGCTGGTGGCAGTCACTTCAGAAACATAGTTGTGCAGCCCCGAGGCCTCCGTCAGCTCTCCACCCCTCCAGCCGCAGCAGTGATGCCTCTCGAGCCTATTCATAGATGTGACTCCCCATGGTGACACTCAGGCTGTCCCCGTGGGTCCCAGACGCTCCGCAAGGGACTTGGTGGGGTGCCCGGTACCCTGTGACCCTGACACTTGGGTCTGCCCTCTGGTCTTCTGTAGAGCCCACTGAAAGCCACCTCCTTTGATTGGAGCCATGTGCCATGGGACGTTTGGGGGGTGGGGCCGGTGGTGACTGTCCTGGGAGCTGAGTGNCTCTCCTAGGCCGGCCGCGCGCAGCCCCAGCATGGAGGACGGCCGCGAGCTGGAGCTTACCTATGTCACCGAGCGCATCATCGCAGTGTCCTTCCCCGCGGGCTGCTCGGAGGAGTCCTACCTGCACAGCCTGCAGGAGGTGACGCGCATGCTGAGGTCCAAGCACGGGGACAACTACCTGGTGAGCAAACAGCTGGGGACAGTGCGGGGACGCTGGGCATGGGTGGAGCTGGAGACACTGAGCTGCCGAGACGCAAAGGGGACCCGCGAGCTGTGGGTGGGGGCTCAGGTCCTGGTTCTGAGGAGCAGCTGTGGGGGAGCGTTCGTCCCCCGCCATCCCTCGGTGCTGTAGAGGGTCCCGGGGTCCACAGGGACACGCAGGTGTTCCCAGCTGCCAGTCGCTGCCCCGTGTGCACTGAGGGTGACACCGGGGGGGTGGCTGTCCCAGCACCCAGCACAGACTTGGTGGGTCACTTCTTCCCTCCTGAAGTGACCAGGAGGACGAGGAGGGGCCTTCCGGAAGCCAGGACAAGTGGTTGGCTCACTCAACACGTGCGAATGGAGCCCGGGTTAGAGGGAGAGTGTCCGCCAGCATCTCCCTGGTTCAGTCTCGACGAGCCCCGTGTCCCCCGGGTGCCACCGTGTAGCGTGGCCCTGCTGTTGTGTCCCCGGTGTCCTCACTCTGGAGTGAAACCCACCTGCACCCCCTCCGCCCCACCCCGTGAGGCCCCCTTATGTGCAGCGGAGCCGCTAATCCCACAAGGCCGTGATTGTCATCCCTGAGTCCCCTCCGATGACTGAGTGGCTAGGACAGGGCCCCAGAGGGAGCGCAGCCAGGTGCTGAGGCGGAGCAGGGCTCCCCTGGCTCCTGGTCCCCAAGGACCTGCTGCTATGCTGTCCCCCCAACGCCCGTGCTCAGCACAACCTGGCTCCAGGCGGGGAGAGCGGAGCAGAGGCCCCTGGGACCGGCACGCCCCGGCCTCAGGATCGCTAGGGCGTCTTTCTTTCTTGGAGACCGTGGGCCCGCTCCTGACACGTTCCCCAGTGGTGGTCAGGCTCAAGTCCCCTCCGCCGCAGGAGGGCCCACGGCCTGGACGGCAGGGGTTGGGGTCTGGTGGTCCCTCCCTTCACATCGGGTGGGGCCTCGCTGGGCCAGAGCCCCCCTGCAAAATGGCTGGGGTGGGGTCCCTGCCTTTCTGGGGACCAGGACCTCTTTGAAACCTCTGAGGGTGCCTCGTAAGGTCCTGAGAGAGCCCGGTGAGCCCATCTCCCCCCCACGTACATCCCAGCGGGGTCCTGGCAGCTGGATGTGGAGACAGAACAGCTCCGGGAACCGCAGACCATGACCCAGGCCATCCGGTGGGACACGTCCTCTCAGTCCACATCGTTCTAACAGGGCCCGTATCCTAGGGTCCAGGAGGCAGCCTGTNCTGCGCCGCCGCTGTCACACCTTCTGGCTCTGCAAAGGGGCGTGGAGGACGAAGGGGCCCTTCTCATGCAAGTTAATACATCAGAGCCCTGTGACTGGGCCATTAGGGGGTGTCTTCCCCCCCATTTGCGTTTCAGACAAAGGGCAGGCACACATCCTCAGAATTTTTACGCATTGCTGGGCTTTTGGTGTGTTGGGATAAGCATTTTATGAATATTAAGGGGAAATGAGTAAAGGTGAAAAACGTTCTCACCACCGTGTCGTCACTTAGAACGAGCTGCTGTCATGTTTCTAGACCGTGGTGGACCCACACAGGGGCGACACTTTGGCACCCCATGCCACATGGCCACCGTGCACACGCCCTGGGCTGAATGTGAGGTCCCCGACCCCGTGTCCCCGGCCTGGTAGCGTTTTGCCCCTTTTGGACTCATTTCCATGGGACACATTCTCAGGACTTGGAGTCCTGGCCATGCGGGATGTTTTGTGTAATTTCTGAGTTTTCAGTTGTAGCTTCCTTTTCTCAAAGTGTTCTTCCCGTTAAATCATGAGCTGGCACAGTGACCTACCTTCTCGTCTGTCCCAAAGCAATGTTGGCCCAGAAAACCCCAGTCGGATCTGCATCGCCATCGAGCCGGCCCAGCTCCTGAAAGGGGACGTCATGGTGAGTGCTTGGCCTTAGTCCTGCTCTCCTGTCATCACCCGAAAGGGGACACTGTCGTCCTAAAACAAGAGCGTGGACCCCTTCTGCCCCCAAACCTGCAGGAAGGATGAAAAGTAGCCTTTACCTCGGGCACTTGGTTAATTAGTCCTGCGAGTATTTTAATGAAAGGGACGGAACCAATCCTCGGAGCCCTTGACATATGCACCTGAAATTAAAGTCCTGATGCAGCCACTGCGCTTCGAGGGTCATGTTCCCGGCCGGCAATGTCCGCCCTTGACATGTGGGGACCTTCGGGGAAGGGTGGATATAAAGTGTTTATTAGCCACTGGCAGCCCAGCTGGCGGTGCAAACACACTTCCCCCAGGTGCGTTTGACTTGTGGGTGTGCTGGTTCCTGAGTGACACCAGCTGTCCCAGTTCCGCCTCTTATCTGCCTTGAATACATTTCACGCATTTAAAGTAATCCCAGGGGACAGACGTTTGTGCACAGAGTAGCCTTCATGGAGTCTCCGTGGCCTAGAGGACATGCTGTGACAAGAGGGAAACATGGTTCAAGAGTTGGCTTTTTGTTTTATTATAAATGGTTCATTCAGGGTTTTTGAGGATTCTTGTTAGTTTTTCCTAAAAATGTGGGTTTAAAACTTCCTTAGTGGTTGGTGAACTCCCACTTGGCCCCACTTGGATCTTTCAAAATCAGGTCAGTGGGTTCTGGAAGACACAGACCCCTGAGCACACTCACACCCTGGGCACACTCACACCCTGGGCACACTCACACCCTGGGCACACTCACACCTCAGGCACACTTGTACCTTGAGCACACTCCCTGGGCCACCGCCCCCAGCCCTGGAAGAAGACCGGGCAGGTCCCACCCCACCTACCTCTCCGTTGTCCCACCCTGGGGCAGCCTGGGAGTGGGGTCTGAGTAAATGTCACAGGTACTGCTCAGCTGGAATGCGGCCTGAGCAGGTGGCCTGGGGTCACTGGGAAGGGGAC